CCCCCCCCCCTCCCTCCGCCGTCCCCGAAGCGTAATCGGCAACGATTAAATTTCATTGATACGCGATGTGTCATAGATATTCGACGGAATTATTAAAGAGCGCAAGGGAGGGAGAGATTTGGCGATTCGGCATCGAAAGCGACAGATTCGCGATATCCAGGCTCGCGGTGGTATTCGGTGATGCGAAATGGGGAGGAATCATCGCTGGAATTATTCCCATTCGAAACCTTCTGGTCCGAATAACCGTACGCCCCCTCGCTGTGAAATAGCCTCGTTCGTTTGAAATTACTTGCCCTATTTTCCTTTGTCTTGTCTCGCATTTTGCGGCATGCCCGGGCCTTTCCTCGCACGTACCTCACCCGCGCCTCTATAGAACCTTAATTTAGTAACCACCCGACTCGAATGGCACCCGACTTTCCGTCCGACTCTCCGAAATTACCCTTGTAAAATTAACTGCGACCGTGTTGGATATTAATTCCGAGATTCGAAGCGAGCGTTCTCTCGGCGTACGATACGCCGAGCTACGTTCCGCTACTACGTTTTCCTTATCGAACTTGGCCCCGCTTTCCGCCCAACTTTTCCCACCCGGCAGCGAGCTTTACCGCCGAGCTTCGCCGCCGGAGCTTTTCACCGAACCGATACCGAAAAGTCGAACGCAACGCGAGCGCGTTTCTCTTCCAGCCAAACGGTTGATTACGATTCAGGCTGCGGGACCGGTGATATTTTACCTCTTTTCGAGGCTTTACGATCGGACGTTTTTAATTTCCCCCCGGTGTGCCTGAAAGAAGGAGCAGGCGAATGCAAATTGTGACAGGAAAGTTATGTGCACCGTGAAATTAACGACTTTCCAGGATCGGGCCTTAATAGGCCGTTATGCACTTTCGCCCGGTCGTACGCGTGCACGAATTCATTAAGCGTCGAGGGTTGTTCGATCGCGGCCGCTTAACGAAATTCAATTACGGCTGTACACGAAAATATCCTTTCAGAAATAGCATAGAATTATGAAGGCGACCGCGTGCTCGATTTATCCGCTGGTTCGTCGTCGTCTTCGTCATCGTCGGGCGTCGTTCCTCGTTTGCGTCCTCCTGCTCGTGGTACTGTCCCCGGTGCTGGTGTTGACCGACGATCGAGGGAACGAGCGCGAGAATACGTACCCGAAGGAACCCGAGGACAGTCCGGAATTCGCCAAGAACCCCAAGGAATCGAAAGTTTCCTCGGTCGGGGAGGAAAACAAGGACTCGATGGTAAGTGAATCGACTGGTTCCCTGGTGAAATGACTAAGTAAGTAAATTCGTGGCGCGATCTCGAGCGGGTTGGGGTGGGGTGGGGAGGGGGGGAACAATGGGGATAGACTCTTAAAGAGGAAAGGAAAGATCCGTGTCCAGCGTGGGATAGCCGAAAGAGCGTCTCTCGTGGCATAGCAAGACGCGGTCGATGTGGCAAACTCTGCCCGACAGACGTTTCCTTTCGGACGCGTTTTAATATCTCAAGCGTTAATTTCTTTTTGTGCAAAACATACTGTCCCTCTCTCGCTTTGTCTTCCCGCACCTTTGCTCTGGCTCTCCTGCTCCCTCCTGGCAGATTCGTCCTTACGCCGGATGACAAAATGACAAAGGGGTGGTCGCCCCGGGCCAGCGATATTACCGTTTCCGTTTCGGAACTATGCGAACTGTCTACACCCCTCCAGCCCGCGTATCCAGGCCGAAAACGTCTCGTGATTGATTATGCTCGCCGTACTTTTGGCTCCTACCACCCTCCGCGGAACGCGATTGATGGAGAGGCTGCGAAAGGAACCGCGCTATACCTCTGCGAACGATCGAGATGTCGTTAGTGCCCTTTTCGGGCTGGCAAACTGGAACGTTCGCTCGTAACAACGGACCACGTCGAACCCCGTTTCGTTCGTCGTCGTTCCGACGCGTTAATTATTCCAACCTTCTCGTATCCCCGGCCGAGAGAGGGATGCGCGAAACGAAAGCGAGGATAGGAACGCGTAATCCTGGCACGAAAGCGAACGATTTACATAAACGTTCAACAAGTGATCATAGGGGAATATCCTGTTTCGCTCGGAGACCGCAACGAGAACGACCAAAGATACCGGGACAGACTACGACGACGAACGGGGGCCAACCTCGAAATCTCTGTTACGGTCCGCGGCAAACAATCGTGGCAAAAATAAAGAAAAAGGGGGGCGGGTGGAAAGCGGAGGGAAAAGAAAGCGAGGCGTGGAGCAAAGTATATTAAAGCGGGACTTCATTAAGGTCCGTGGAAAGTGGAGGAGCGAGGAGAGAAAGAGCACGGTCCAGATGCGAAGGAAAAACGCGCGGAGGTCGAGCGTAGCAGACACCAGCAGCGGCGTGGACGTCGGCGTCGGCTCGCTCGCGTGCGGGGGTGCAAAAAGGAAGATGGCGAGTGTTTATTTAGTTAAATGCCGCGCGTAATTGGGTGTAAGACTTTTTTGTTCGGTGTCGAGGCGACGAGCGTGGCCGTACGAAAAGGGCCAACTGCGACTGGTAGGACAGCAGGGTGGCGGCGAGCAAACCCCTCGGCCTGGCGTTTCCACGGTCGAGCTTTCCACCCCTTTTTCCGCGTGCTGGCAGCCACCTGATGGCTGGCTGGCACAAGGGCCCGCCGGGAATGAGATGCAGATTGCCAGAGGCCACTTCAGCCGCTAGAGGGAGTGAATTTTTAATAACACCGTGCCCGTATCCGCGGACCCCGCGCGGTCTCTACGTAGAATCCCATTGTCTTGGCCGCGTCTCGTACGCGCTGGAAAAAGGACGAGAGCCGGAGTACGGACGATGCGTAACGGAAGCGCACCCGGTATTATTATAGGAGGAGAATTGTCACCGACAAGACATGCTCGGCTCTGCGGCAAACCGCGTCAGAGCTGCTATCTTCCTCTCTCGACCACGTCCTCGCAGACCTTGCTGCTAGCTGGCGTCGCGCGACCACGAGATCCAGTATACCGATCGACCTTGCTTCCGTAGGTGAAATCTGGCGGGGATCAGCCGATCGGACAGTCCGCCAAAGCCATCCACGAGAACAGCCCGGCGCTAAGAAGATTCTTGGACGACGTCCTCAAGGCTCAGGACGATTTGAAGTGGATAGATCAAACCGTGGGTAACGTCGACCGAGGGAGGAATTCGGACAAGTGAGTTTCATCCACGACCAAATGCACTCGATTGTCGGTAAGTTGAACCTTTACCGAAGGATGAACGATCATCGACGTGGAAATCAGTTGCGCGAGAAGAGAGACTCCGATGGAAACTATGGCGCCGCGTGGAGGAACGGCGACCCTCGATTTTCTCGGAGAGAGCATTTCGATAACGACGCGACGTTTAAGGGAGACGTCGACGAGAGTGATCTTCACGCGTCGCAACATGGGTATCGAATTTTAGAAATTAGGGTAACAGTCCGAGCTTAATCGGTCGCGTGCTAAGCTATTCGGTTTCACAGGATGCGTGGAAAAGAGACTCGTTCTTCTCGCCTGTACGACAGAGGAACGGCGAACGACGAGATTCCGAAGGACTGGTCCAAGACGAAGGATCTTTGTTCCTTCAGCGACTGGTTAAACTCGAAGAAAAGCTCGGGAAACGAACAGGGTAAATCCGGGGACCGATGGATCCGCGATTACGAGACCAGCGATAAAGGCAGGCCTGGTACGACTTGATTTCGACGTATCGATTCCGATTCCGCGGTAAAACTGTCACGCTCACGGATGGAAATTAAACAGATTCTTCGGCCGTGGACAAAGGGGCGAACGCAAAGGCGGCCGTGGCGTTTAACGCGAGGAATCAACGAGATGAAACGACGAGGAAAGAGGCGCCGTCGCTGGAATCTCTCAAGGAGACGATATTAGAATTGAAAAAAAGCCTGAACGCGGCTGACAAAAAGCGGGAGGAAAATTCTAAAAACGTGGACGCCGGGAAAGTCGGGGAAAAGGACGGAGACAGGCACGAGCAGAAGGAAGGAACAAGCCGCGCGAGGAATAAGTACCGAAAAAACGAGAACGACGACGAAAGTAGTGGAAAATGCTTTAATTTTATAAACTCGTGGTGGAATTTAAAAGGGGCCGCTAGCTTGAAATTTTTCTATCTTTTTAGCGGGCTCCGGCTGGTGGGAAGGTTCGCTAGCGGAAAAGTTGGATTTAAAAAAGCGTGAACAGGGCCCTGAAGATCTCGAGGAGAAGAATGCTCGGCCGAAAGTGTGGAGAACGAAAAGGACCGAAGTTAATAACGACGATGGTAACCCGAAACTCTTTCGCAGAGTGGGGTTTGGGGAGCCGTACCTTGAAGAGAACACCCCAAAAGAGCCTCGTGACCGTAAAAGACGTAGCAAGGGAACGCCGTCAGACGAGAAACGTCGCTTAAACGAGGCTCCGGATAAAAACGCGGACACGGTAGCCGAGGAGAAAAATTCGATGAAAATATCGGAAACAGCCGCGGATTACGAGCGCGCGGATAATTCCGGGAAAAAAGGACCCCCGCCGAGTGATTCGCGGGGAACCGGCGTCCTCGAACGCGAAAGCGAATTAACGAATAGTCCGGAGGATGCGGCGAATTCCGGGATCTCAGAGGGGCCAGCAAAGGAGGAGAGGAAAAATACGGAAACAGCGGGAAATTGCGAAGAATCGGATCTATCGCGGGAAAATCTGAACGCGATGGAAAACGAGTTGACGAGGAAGAAAGGAAAGGGTGAAAGTCCCGAGGGAAATTCTTTGCAAACCTTCGAATCCATGACGAATGAATTGCAGGCTGCTTCTTCTGCCACCGAAACCTCGAGTCAAGAAAATGTCGGCTCGAGCAAGGGAGAACAGGTGATCAAAGTCTTTGAACCTCAGAGGCATTTGCATGAAAACAGCGAACGCACAAAGGAAGTCCGAAGGACCGAGCCAGACGAGGAGCATGGAAAATTGTCTCGGCAACTGGTGCAAGAGAAAAGGTCTACCGGAGAATCGGGAAATATTAATATCCTGCTCGAGTCGGAAAACAAAAATCTCGTCAAGTTCAGCAACGCCTGTAACAAGGACGGCAAACTCGTCGCTGACCGATCGCCGTTCGTGCTGAACGTGTACGACGTGAAGAAGAAGATGATCCTGGAGGACGAGGACAAGCCTGGGAAATCGGTTTCCACGATTTACAAGATGAAGTTGGAGAAGGCGCAGGTCGATACACCCGCGAGTAGTGCGAACAAACGACGAGAGAGCCAAGGGGGCGATGACGGTCCAATTAGTAATGGAGTTCCCGATTTCGAGAAGAACAAAGTTAAGGAAGTGCCATACGAAGACACGCCCGGATCCGCGAACATCATGAAGGAAAGGAAGCTCGATGAAAAACGACTTAAGAACTTCATAGACTCGGACAAAGGATCGGAACAAAGCGGCGTCAATGAAGAAGGAACTCGAAACTGGTTCGAAGGCGCAGCTCGTAATCAAATGGGTATGAATGTCGATCACGGTGCAGCTGAGAATTGTAATGAACTAGGTGGGAAGGACAAATTTACGGACGCAGAGGGAGGACGGTTTAACGACGAGAAAGGAGACTCCAGCCAGGATCCGAACAACAAAGCAGGAGCGAACGAAGACAACGACGAGGGTAGAAATAATAAAAAATATCGTCAAATATTCATAATGACCGACGGAATGGATGACCGGATAATGAGTGACAGATACGGTCAAAGGAGAATTCTTCAATACATGGAATACTCGAACGACGACGTGGAAGACGTCGATGTGAATTACGACAGGGAAGAAAACGACGATCAACGTCGAGCTAGCATAGGTGAGCGAATCGTAGATCTATCATAGAAAACTGTACGTCTACGATGTACCGATTATTTGCAGAGAAAGACGAAGCACCGTCGCGAAGGAAGGAACGAGCAGCGTACAGCGACAAGAAGAAAGCGAAAGTGAACATGCTGATAAGGGAAAAGCTGGACAGGAAGAAGAAACCGAGTCGCGGTAGGAAGAAGCGAGACCCAAACGTAATCGCGTACTACGATTACGACAGCGACGTGGAGCAACAAGATCGAGAGGCGTTGTCACCGACGATCGACGAACGAAGCAAAGACAATTATCGCGACAAGAACGCTGCGCAGGAATCCGATACGGGACTCGGTAATCACGCGTGCACTTCTCCATCTGCGAAATTCTAACCTCGAAACTGCTACAAAAGCTCGCGTACGAAAGTTTCCTCGGATATTGTATCACCACCGTCTGCTCCAGCCGCCATTCAGCGTACGCGGCTTAGACGAATGGTATCGGGACTCATATCTCTTTTCGATCGCAGTGGAAAACGAGGAAAGTAATCAACCGTGTATACCGGTCCTCGAGCGAAAGGACGAGCACGACGAAGAGATGGAGAAGGAGCTGAAGCGAAAGGAAAAATTCGGACCGCCGAAAGCGCACTTCCTCGGTCCAAGTACGGCACCAAACGCGACTACCAAGACTAACAGATCGGCGGTGTCACCGACGAAAGTTGCGCTCGCGGAAGAGGAAGGATCTTCGGGCAATCGACACCTGACGGGATCCAGGTGAAGACAACGCGAACAGAGCACCGGTCGCGAGAGGTCAGCGGTAAATTCTCGAGAGAAACGGTACGATCTATCGAACAGATGACACTGACCTACGTGATCGCGATGTTGGTGTAAATCCACGCAACTTTTAATCCTCGCACTGATCGTTGGTGTATGGACAGGTTGAACGAACCGATGGGACAGAACGAGGACAGATTTTTGGACAGCGACGCGAACAAAATGGTACCCGATTCGGCAAAGTATATCCTAAGGCTGAACCAAAATTTTGATCCCAGCACGATCGACGGTTTCTTGGAGGACGTTCAATCTCTGGATGAAAAGTACGTCCATCTCCTAATCTCGAATGCCGGAAAGTCTTTGGTCCGATACCTAGATTGTCGTTGTTATCCAGAAGAGAGAAGGTAGCCGAGAACGTGGAACCGCTGTACGAGGAGTTGAAGAAGATTTACGACCGGAACGAGGACGAAACGAAAATGAAACCTAGAATGAAGGGAGATGAGAGAATGTACTACGGGGCTAACGATAAACCAGACCCGAACGATAATATGGCCGGATCGTTGAAGGATCAAGTGGAACGGGGAGAAATTCGCGTTGGTCCAACTGGAACGTCTGGTAAACGTTACTGAATCAACTTGGTTCAATCGACTCGATTCATATCGACCACGATGAATTTTGCCGTTCAGCTTCTAGCCCCAACTTATTGCCTCTTTTGCTCATTTACAATGGATCAGGGAAATCCGAAATTGGCGAGAGAACTTACCAGGCCGTATCATCTGGCCAGCTGGAAAGCCCTGCTGCGAGGAACGTTACCCAAAGTAATTATTTTGCTCTTAAAAGCACGGACGATATGTTTAAAGGCGGGTCGGAGCAAAGTAACAGCACCGAGGAAAAATTACGAGGACCGAGTGCTATCGGAACGGCTGCTGAATGGCAAACACAAAAGGTAAAAAGAGTAAACCTAAGCATTTCCAATAAATTATTGCCCCGACTTACTTTCTTTCGCTCTATAAACCTTGAATCGCAGGTGAGCGGAGTGAGAAACGACGCCGGCGAAGAAAAAGATGCCGTGAGCTGGTCATTAACGGACCAGAGGCAATATATTGACACAGATTCGCGTTCTCCTTACGAAAATCGTAAATATCTGGAATCAGAGGTTCCACGTGGACTGGAACCCGTCCGAAATATAGACGCCGAGAAACAGACGGTCATTAGTTCGAGGGACCTGCACGAATCTTTTGTCGAGCCGCTGGAATGGCTCGACGATTTCGACAAAGACATAAGAGTGAGACTCGGCAGGAGCTTGAAAACCATCCAGTCGAAAACTACCGCGTACGTCGAATCAGCTACCAAGAACTATGCTAAATATCTAGTCAATGCTTCCATTGAAACCGTTCGGCTTGCAAATAGCGCGCCTCCGAGATCCCACGATTCCGAGCTTGCTCTCGTTACGGTTCCGCCTTTCCAGACACGAAAGTCCTTTCCAAAGGACGCGAGAGCGAAGAGGGAAGCGGCCTTTCCATACGACGCGTTCTACGATGACGCGGATCAGCGTGTCGATGATTTCGGAAGAACGGACTATAGTAACCGATACTCGAGGAACGAAGAGGACATGGACGATGATTATCGGCTGTCAAACTCAAACTCGTACCAAGACGACGTAGACAGGAAGCCGTCCGACTCGGGCAATCTCGAGGACTACGATTATTTAGAGAACGATAAGGATTACAAGGTTCTCAGAAACGCAAATCCAAAGAGGAAGAAGCACGGAGGCAAGAAGAAGCATCACGAGGAAACGCCGAGGAAGAAGAAGAGAAGAAAGGGTCGCGACAAGCCGAGCAAGAACCGGAGGAAACGAAGGCACCGCAAGAAACATTCCGATAATTCGAAAACGAAAGATCACGGTAAAAAGCATAAGAAGAACGCGTCGAAGAAGGAAAAGAATCGTCATACGAATGTAAAGAAGAGCAAAGTGACTCGAAACGAAGAGAAGGCCGAGGAGAAAAGAAAGGGACATGGCGACAAAGTGGAAGGGGACGACGTAAGTGATCGGGAGACGCCCTGTTCAATTTACAGGAAGCGCGATAAAGCGAAATATATAATTTAATTAAAAAGAAAGTCTCGGCGTTAATACCTTAGACAACGAACCCGGACAGCGATATCCAGAGAAGAAGAATCTCGTCGCTGCTGATGGCCGATGACATGGAGGACGAGTCGCAAATGGATTCCGCTCTGCACGGCGAGCTTGCAGGGAAGATCGTGGAGCAAATTTTCGATCAGGTACTACTTGTCCCATTCACGCGGATGATGCTCGAATTTTCACGACGCGAATCATCAGGTACGGAACAACAAGGACCTGCGAGTGTCGTTGGGACCAGGACTCTACCAGAAGCACAAGACCAGGGATACCGTGGAAGCTGATAAATCGTATCGCCGGGTCGTGAACGACGATGAAGTGCGTTCGCAAGTTCCCTCTAACGAGTCGGTCTGATACCATGCAAATGTTCCAAGTGTTTCGCTTCGACAGATCAAGCACACGGAAGAGTTGTTGAATAAAATCATGCTGCTGCTCAACCGACTGATCTTCGACGAGGTACAGAGAAGGACCTGCATCCCTCTGCCGCCAGACTTGGCCGGGTTCTTGGACTGGATGTTGGACGCGAGTCCTGGGACGAGTTTGACGGAACAAGTAACTCGTGCTGGATGAAAATTAAACGCGAAACCTATGCGCCGAATTTCGTTTCAGCCGCCAACGTTACCGCTGGTACACGAAGCAGAGGGCCGAGATTATTTTCCAAGGGACAAGTTTCTCTTTCGAAGTTTCCCAAACGGAGAGATAGAGAAGGAGATCGACGAGTTGTACGCGAAGATTGGACTAATAAAAAATCTGATAAAGGAATACAGTGGCCTGGCGGAGAAGGATAAAGCGAAGATCGAGTCTGTGGAGGATTATCTGGTTAGCTACGATCTCTGCTCGTCCTACGGACAAGTTTCTCGGCTACTACGTTTCTTGCCCTTTCAGGCAAAGCAACTGGATTTGTTGCTCGAGTATATAGAAGCCAAAGAGGACGCCGAAAAGAGAGGCAAATCGTCTCTGATCGGAGGAGCACCTAGTGGGCATAGCGAAAGCGTTCCTCGGTATCGGATAGGAACGAGTAACGCGAGTAACGCTAGCTACTCGCCTCAGCAGGATACCTTCTCGACTCTGATGAACGCTCCTAACCTTCTGAAACTGAGCGACGCGAACCTCTTCGCGGACGAGGAACTTCTTCGAGAGAGTAAAAGCCAAAGCTTAGATTCAACGATTTCGCGATTCCACGGCGATCGTCAGCGTCCACACAAAGGTTCTCCGCGTGTTTCAGACAGCGTCCACGGTCCGTACAGGGGACAGAGGATAATCAGGAGCTTGGACAAGCATCCGAGGCGTAATAAGATGCGAGGAAGGAATAAAAAGCGCAACAGGAAGCATGGCAAGCATCACAAAGGTGCAAGTACTATTGATCAGCCACGACACAGGGACACTGTGCATAAAGCTGCGGCACTGCGTCAGAAACGTGAATACCTGGACCCAGCCTTTTGGGATTCTTCCGATTCTGGATACGAGAAGCCTTTAATTTATAACTCCGTGGATATGGCGAACGTGGGACTGAATGGGAACGATGACAACGCGCAGGTTGCAAAGAGAGATTCGGAGGACGCGGATGGCAAAAAGTACACGTTACACTATTGAAACGTAATTAGCAGAGAGTGCGATAAATCGTATCGTTATGGCTATATTTTTACCATAAGTGCAGCGCTCGATCCGGGGAAGAAGGGACCAGCGATTTAAAAGAGTCTAGGAAGGTGGATGAGAAAGAATACGCCGAAACGGGGGTTGACAAAGGTAACTGTTTCTCCTCTTAATAATATTTTGTCACGTACACGCGTGTCGCAAAAGTGTCACGATTTACGTCAGATTCGCTGGAAGACGAAGAGCCGATAACGGGGAAGAATCAGGTAGAAGACGAGATACTGTTGCTGAACAAGCGACACGCGTGGCGAAAGGAGAACGAGGAGCAACTGGAGGAAGTGGCTTTCGGCGAGGACATGAGAAAGGCGACAAAGGACAAAGAGTTGTTCGAGAAATTAACCGAGATCGACAAGAAAAATAGCGAGCGGAATGAAAGCCGAGAGGAAAATTGCGGCGTTAAAGATGGCGCGAGGAATCGTGGAAACAAGAGCTGTAATTTATCAAACGAGGACAAGCTGAGACTGCTCGAACGGAAGATAAACGTTTATGCGGATAACGAGTGAGGCGAAAAGCGGGGAGGAAAAAGCGAAGGTGGAAGAGAAAGTTGCGAAGAAGTTGACAAGTTCACCAAGAATGAACTGCCCGCGATAAATTGCAAGATAAAGCGGGATGTTAAAGAGACGACGTTAAAGAAGACGAGCTCGGAGCTGGAGGGACAAACGACGAGGAAGACGCGTCGCGAGAGAGATCGTGCGATTGTACGGAAAATTTGCCGAGCTTTCCGCAATGAGATAACAAGATTCGCGAGATAAAATCACGGAAAAAGTCACGCTTTAATTCGAAAAGGACGAGAGGGGTTCGTACGATTCGGTGGGAAGCGCTTAACCTATGAAAGCCTATGAAGTTGCGTTAAACCGATTCGAGTGAGGAACGCGGTAACACCGACAATGTTGATGTAATGTTTAATTTCGCGCGTGTACATCGTACTTAGAATAAATTTCACCGATAACGCGAAATAGGACGTCATCCTGTGCAGTTCCTCGGCGACGTCCTAGATCGTGTCACCCTCTCGGCGGGTTTCATTTAATTATCCCACGCGTATATAAATAAAGCGATCACTAGAGTACAACGGTGGACATTTATAGGTGGAGTAATTGTATTTGCGATACAATAGTGCGAGGCTGCGTAATATCGCGGTGAACCGGGATAGGTTCGCGTCGTTGCTTGACAGCGGGCGTCTAAATAATTTCATCAGATACATCGATGGCCGATGAGCTTTATCGTAATTGACACATTCGCTCTATCTGGCCGACAGGCGAGCCTGTGAAACCTCGTAAATCGTCCTGTCGTTGCGATCAACTCGACGGCCTCTCGTATGTTTGCACACGCGTACAACGCCCGTGCTCTAATCTACGTGCGAAAACTGCTTAAAGCCCGCGATCGCTATCGACTAATTGCTCGCTAAGAACGGTGCAATTTATCCAGCGACCGGGCACATTTCGAATAAACAGCCGGGGATTTCACCTCGAAGGCGTCTCCGCCGTTTACACGAGCGCCAAACGAAAAATTGGAATTAATAAAATTTGAATTATCGAGATAGGCACGGGGAGCAACCCCTCGGCCTCGTCGTGGACTTACTTAACGTCGAGAAAGGGGTGAGGGCCTCGTCTTAACTCGAAACACATTTATACGGTAAATTATCCTCCCGCCCCCCCGGTGACATAATCCTGCAATTTTCCCCCTCCACGAATTTCACCTGCTATATAAGGTAGACGACGAAGAGAGCGTTGGCATAACACCGGTAGCCGACGAGTGGAATGATAGACTTTTAAGAAGCGATTCGACATGATCGCTTGTATCGTAGCACGGAATTCGATTAAAACGCGATGTCTCGCGGCGGTTTCAGGGGTGGATTTAACCGGATTACGAGAACCGCGGGGAAATCGATCGGAAAATAGGGCAAAAGGTGGGAAAGAATGAAGATGTACATAGCGATAAGCAAAAGTTGAAACGTCTCCCGGTTATACGATGTCCATAAAGTTTACAACTTTATTAAACACGGCAGGAATGTGTAGCCCGTTTTATCGCGAAAGTTCTTCCTTAAAGAGCAGCAAGAAATCGGAATACCTTTCTCTTAGGGGTAAATTGAAACGTCGAATAGCGGCGAAAGCGGGATAATCTCGACCAACACGGTCCATCCCTGCAACCCCTTCGAACGTCTCGAAGATTCGGCCAAGAGCGACTAGAAAAGCGAACAACCACAGAGTTCCGCAGCTGTTTCGACGATTCCATAATCTGCCTAGATCGACCGCAATTCCGCCGGCGAAACTGATTAAATCTCGCCGAGGAAAAACGAGTATCTCATCGCGATTGCTCGTACTCTTCTCCTCTCTGCCTCTCTCTCTCTCTCTGCCACCCTCTGTCTCCCGAACTCGCGGTGGAAAAAAAAAAAAAAGTATGCATTCTCTCGTCTCCCGGGGCACGAAATATCTGGAAAGTTTGCTCGTAAAGTAAGTCCACGCAGCGGAATTCCCCCGGGCCAATTAAAGTCCCGAAATCGGACGCGCTCGCTTATGCAGGCAAGGGCAAGGTGGAATACGGAAAAGGGAGAATCTAAGCCGCGGTTGGCGAACGTTATTACTTATTCGACTCAAGGATTTTAAGGGTGGCCGACACGCGGATTTATTTAGATATTCCAACGGTGAGCATCTGCTCGAGGTTCGACTGGCTCTCGTCTGGCGCGCTTTTCCTCGTCGCGTTCGCTCTTCTTTCGACCCGCATTAATATACACGGAGAACCGGTGTGTCTGCCACCGTCCGGAAACCCCGGCAATTTTTACATAACATTAAGTCGTTCGTGTAACCGAGTCCTGGCCCGCAGACGTCCCCGGGGTTGGGTCACTAATGGGGGTTAAAACGGAACTACGACACCAGACGCGTAGACGCATCGAGAAGAAATTTCACCCATCGACTTGCACCCCTTTCAACCACCTCCGTGCTACGAAACACGCCTTCGAATCCGTGTCACGTCCTATTCCTTCCAGCCTTTTCCCTCCATTTCCGAGCACGGGTAATTAGAGTTATATCCAAATCGGGCACCGATACCTCTGTCGACGCCGTCTCGTATGAAAGTCGTTAATAAACGCGCGCAGAAGCGTAAAGTACGAACACGTCGGCCTCGGCAGCTTTTAGAGGCGAGCGATAGGATCGCGAAGAATGGAAGAACGGGGATGCGCGGTGATAGAAAATGGAGGCTCGATTTCAAGGGAACATTCGGGACATTGGTGCCGCGATAAGTACACATTGTTCGACGCATTGCACCGCGACGTCGGAGCTATCGTTAGCGACGCTGAACCACGTTTTTCGATTCCCGTCGACGACCTCGATTTAATGGCAACGATCGATCGGCGACCAGAGTCAAATGCAAATCGTAGCCTCTTAATTGGAAAATGAATTCGACTACGGGCCACGATTATTCACGAGAGCACGAGCGTCGGTGGCAACTAGTTTCAATACCCCATCGTACGCGTCGTTTACGCCGATTGTTTCGAGATCCAGAATTGTCCCGGGCCTAGGTTTAACTGGGTTTTACGGTCACGTCGTTTAAGGAGACATTTTCGACGTTTAGCTGGCCCAACTTTCCGGCTATCCGCGAAACAAACCCGGCAGTTTAACGAGCTGATCGACGTCCGGGGGTTGATTTGGGAAATTTCGCACGATAAACCTCGTTATTAAGTGCCTCTTCGCGTACCGTGGTATATTATATATATATATGTACAGTACCGGAGTACTGTCCGCGATTATATCGCAAATAGATGATACGTTAGAGATATTTATTGTGAGCGAACGGAGAAGAGAAAATAAGACTAAGAATAAGAAAAAAAAAGAAGAAAGGGAGGGTCGAACGAAGGGGAGGTAAAGGCACGAAGCGAAATCGCGTTGGAAAGAGAGAAGTGGGTGGTGGTTGGCCGTTGGGACGGGGTCTGGCACGCACCCCCGAATGACAGATGGTATTTTCGCGTATCATGATCGCGGCTAGGATAGTTTCCTATATCGTGGAATATACAGCCCCGGCCTGGCATCGTCGACATGTCGATAGCAGGCCTCGCCGTGCGATACATCCACCGATATCCCCGTACCATGGGTATCCGCGGTCCATCCCCTTCGTTCGACCGCTAAATGGCCAAGCGGAGCCACCCCCATGGTGCTCAATTATTGATACTTACCCCTCGTGCCGCCTCGCATTTCCCCGGCTGCATGTTCCCGATGCGTTGCGTCCTTCGATCCCGTCTATGCCGATGCACCTCCCTGCGACCAAAGATCGGCTGCACTGCGCTCGAAAACTCGCCTGAAAAGAGACGCGCGTGGGTGAGTTTCGCTGCGTAACGAGCAATTTTTCCTACCATTCGATACCGTTTTCTTTCCCCGTTTCGCGAAAAACGCTTCGATCCACGCGTCCCACGGACCAAGTGGTATTTCGGTGCACAGACGGGGCGTATTCTCGAGGATCCCTCAAGTTTGTCTCAATCGGGGCAAGTAAAGAAGGAAACGCTATCGGTGTATAGGTTAGGACGGAAAGTTGGGAAAGTGGCACGAGTTTGGGTAGTAGTTTGTAAATCGCGAGGAAGAGGGGATGGGCTGAGAACCGCTGTTGGTCGCAATGGCCTCGATTAACCGTTTGACCGGCTAGAGCGAGTGGTCAACGTTTTCCAGGCGTCCAGCTCGCCCTATTAGATCTACGGGAAGCCTGGTACAGATATCCGGAGGTGGACGTACCGTTTCAATGTTTCTTTGCATCGAATTCTGGACGAAGCCGGTCTGTTCCACGGGGGAAAAGATCGAGGGAAAAAAAGAGAAAAAGGGGAGAGAGTGAGAGAGAGAGAGAGAAAGGGAGAGGGAAAAAAAAAAGAGAGAAAAGTGGTGTCCACTGATTAAAAGTTTTCTACTCGACATCGTGGTCGTTCCTTCGTCGAGTCCGTTCGATGTGAGATTAATCGTGACTTCTTCGAGCGGACCGTAGAGAAACCAAAAACCGATATCGGTTCGGATAGAGCGAAACGAAAGGGAGACAGGGACGAAGACAGAGAGACGGGGTGGAATGGTAGAAGAGGGGTAAAAATGGAAACGAAGCCGAGCAATGGGATCGAAAATATGATCTACCCCACGGTCTTTCCGTAAACTTTAAGACATTTGTCTATTCGGAGGCTCGTTCGTCAAGCGAGTCGAGGAAAAGGAAAAGAAAAGAAGCAGCCTCCATAAAGCGATCGGGGCGACCCTCGCCCTTACACCCATAGACGCGAACCGCGTCTCTCCTCTAAGTGTATTAGACTCGCGTTTCGGGTGGTGGAAGAAGCTGCGCGGGGGTGGGTGTAAGCCGGAGGACGGTTTGCAAGGGTGCGAGAGGGTGGTCCGAGGCCTGTACCCCGCTAATGGCACCCTCGGGGTATTCCCGGAGAACCCTCTCGTATTTATTATTTAGCGAGGATACCGGTAGGTGGAAGCGAACGGGAGAAAGAGGAAGGGAGAGAGAGAGAGAGAGAGAGAGAGAGAGAGAGAGAGAGAGA